GCATGAAAATCGAGGAGGTATTCAGTGAAATTTGAAAAATTCGAAATTTTCAAAAAAGTATCAGGAGAGCATGAAAATCGAGGAGGTATTCACTGAAATTGAAAAATTCGAAATTTTCAAAAAAGTATCAAGTGAGCATGAAAATGGAGGAGGTATTCACTGAAATTTGAAAAATTCGAAATTTTCAAAAAAGTATCAGGGGAGCATGAAAATCAAGAAGGCATTCACGGAAATTGGAAAATTCAAAATTTTCAAAAAAGTATCAGGGGAGCATAAAAATGGAGGAGGTATTCCCTGAAATTTGAAAATCCGAAATTTTTGAAAAAGTATCAGGGGAGCATGAAAATCGAGGAGGTATTCACTGAAATTGAAAAATTTAAAATTTTCGGGAAATAAAATTCACCCAGTCGATTGGTCCCTCTGACAGCGGGACTACTACTGAGACAGTTACCGAGTCGGCTGACGGGCAGACACCCCACCCTTGGGTGCGACCCCCTCTTTCTCTTGGGGTGAAGTGCCCCCTCCCGAACTGAGCCGCTCAGTGGGGGTTTGACTGACCCAACGGGCGTGTAGTACCTCACCCCACGAGAAAGAGGGGGCCGCACCCAATGGTGGGGTGTCTACCCGTCAGCCGACTCGGTAACTGCCTCAGTAGCAGTCTCGCTGTCAGAGGGACCAGTCGATAGGGTGAATATAATTTTCTGGGTTACGAAATTGGTATTCACTGAAATTTAAAAATTTTATGGAGGGGGATTAAGGGGGTTACATGGGGGCACAAAATTTAAGTGACTCTATAAAATTTTCAATTTCCGTGAATACCAATTTCGTAACGCAGAAAATATTTCTTTATGCCCAAATTTTTATAAGATCTTTTTCTATTCTCTCGAAATTATATGAATACAAAAGAAAAATCGTAATTATTCTATTTTTAATTCATAAATAAAAGAGTCTACCATCCGAGTCCGTGTTACTTTTTTTTCTATATAATTGATGAATAATTAACTAATTTATAGTGAAACTATTCTCGTGTGTTATTTGGGGAATTGAAAATTTTTTATATTAAGTACTATTAGAATAAAAAGAATCACTCGAAGATTTGTGATAATTGGGGAAATCTTTTTATTACATCAAACTACGATATAATCACATTAGATAATGGATGCGTAGCAGACAAACATACATCCACTTCATGCAGCCTCAGATACTCATCGATTTCTAATATCTCACTTCAACTTTTAACGACGTTTGCATAGTAACAAAATGCAATCATACATTATTCGTTATACACAATCAGGGGCAGTGCGAACATAATAGAAAAGAAGAAAATTTGAAAAGAGCAGCATTTACCCAGTCTCAAAAATGTTGGCCGTAAAATATTTTGTCCTCCAATTATTTTTATCGCTCCTTTCTGATATGTTCCGGGATTTGAATTATCGTCCTGTATTGATCGATTTGTAGGAATCCATTTAGTATTGTCTTAGCGGTTGGAGTATTAAACATTTGCCTTTTAAATCTAATCCGTCGACTTAATCAATCATGTTCGTCAGTTTCACAATGAACAATTATTTAATATTTATAATATGAATTCACAAATCATCCACTCCATCACTAAACATTCATCACCCACATTTTATTGTTTTGACATTGATGTTTAGACATTTTTTTTCGCAGTTTTTATTGCATTATTTCACATTGAATATAGCTGATCCTCCACCCATTCCGTCTACAGTCAAAATATCCAACATCTAATTATTGATTCTTCTGTAATACAAAAGTGTCATTTTTAGTGAGTTCACAGTTACTTTCCTCGATGCGTTGTACATCATTGCCTATGTACACTCGTTACGATTCCTTCCAGTCGTCGCATCTAGTTTATCACATGCTTCGTAACAATATTTATTATCATCAAAAAGTCTCTGCAATTAGCAGTGCCTCGCCATTTCACGAGACTGATTTTACACGATACAAGTTATCAACCGCCGATCCACGAGACAAACCACCGCCAAGGATAAACCACCCATCACGATTTAAGGTAAAAGCTTTAAAGTTCAGATTCAGTCTCATCAAGTTATCTCGGAGTTGGAGGCGGTGGTGGTGGTCATACGGCACTGCCAGTATAGAATCCAGCTTTACCAGAGAGTCCAGGATTGCGTGTCTTTCTCTTTTCGCATTCAAGAGTGCTGAAAGTATTCTGGGCAATTTGGGATTTTCTCTTGGGGTTCTGCAGGGTCATGCTGCGCTGACTAGAATTCGAACTGGAACTCGTTCCAGGTTCTGATACTCTGAGAATTCCCGAGTGGATAGTTCCTGAGTGCATAACAGAAGGGTGAACATTGCCAGAACTGATAGTCCCAAAGTTCTGATACATTCCCTGGGCCTGAATGGCCGAGATGGAAGGACTGTTGTGATGCTTCAGTATAATCGGTACCGTCTGCCCAGCTAAGGAATTGTACCGATTGTAACTCATCGGACTGTCCATGAGTGTCTCGGGCTTGAGATTTGTATCAGCATATGTTACGTGCCTAGCATCAGATATAGCTGTGATATTAGGAGAATGATTCATGAGATCATTTGAACACTTTTCGACTCTAACACCAGTGCAAAATTCGATGTACCTCGGCTCTTGTCCGACCGAGTGTTCCTTACTTTCGGTAGAGGCAATAATGTTTTGTCTCGAGTCGGATAAAATTCTAGAGTCGATGAGTCCCTCTTTATCGACGAAACCACTCAGTTGGGAGTCAACTACCCCCGGCTCTGACTTATCGGCGAACGCGAAACGAGGATCCACGACGTGGGTGTCTGGATAAGCCGGCAAAATGTGGGACAAATCTGCCTTCTCCACGTAACTGATTACCTGAGGATTGGATGCGCATATATCAGGGGCTGATTTGCAAAGCAAAGACGTGCCCTCCTCAGTCAATCTCTGGGGCCCCAGAATAACATCTTGAAATGAGAAAGGCCGTATGTTAATACTTAATGCATTTTTATTCAATTACAGCCTCTCAACCATAATTATAAAGTATTCCAATCAAGAAAGGGATGAGGCTCCATTAATGAGGAGTGCTTTCGTAATTAGAATGTAACCTAGCATTAACATAAATTTTTGAAAATCCAGCCCACCTTTGCTTGGCTCATCAAACGTTGTTGCTCGAGTTGCGTTGGGAGACTTCTGAGGGGCTCTAACGAGATATTCCGAGGATAATCCACGCTGCTCATTCAATTTTCTAGCTGCTCCAGGCACCATGACTCGTACCTATTAACCAGCAAGAATGTTAAAATAGATGAGGACGGATGGTAGGTGGGTGGTGAGAATTTTGCAGGTACCATGTCCTCGACTGTGGGAAATCGTGCCATGTAGCCGGAGACTGTGAGAAGTGCAGCGATTTCCGCAAGGATAAGAGCAAGCCCAGAAAGTTGCAAACACCAGCCGTAGTGATACTGGGGCAGGCCACTGTCCTCGGAGTTGTTCGATGTTGATGAAAGGCTGTATCTCTTGGGAGACTCGTAGGAAGCGTCGGACAGTGCCGATGCCAGAACAATCAGTCCGCATCCCATTGAAAGACCTGCAAAACAGAATCCAATACTCAGTATCATCCAGTCATCCAACAATAGCATAAAAAAAAGGTAATAACAAGTATAAATATATAAAAGGCAATAGCAATAACAACAGCAGCCTAATCTCCCCCAATTGCATTGCATTGCATTATCTCCGTAAAATATAATAATACGAAGAGCTGCAAAGAGAAGAAATGGAAAGGTAAAAGACCATTTTCAATCGTATTAAAGGATCCTCCTTAATCATACAACATTCAGTTGATCTGAAACTGTTGCTGAGTGTACAAACTGTTGATTCGGAATATTTCATTAGGCCAACAAGGAAAAACCATATCGCAGATTCTCTCTGTAATATCACTCCACCAAGGGACTTTTAATGAATACTCTGCATCGTCCATTACGCACTAATGACATCACTGACAATGATGTTTACTCCGTCGTTAATAACCGGGACAAACTCACGAAAAACTAATAGAACCTCGTTATACTTCGCAAATGAGTTTGCGGAAATTACTGTCAAGGGAGATGCAGTGTTTTTGTCGTTGATTTTTATAATATCAATACCAGTAGATCGAGTAAGTTGGTTTACCTTGTTGGGGGCGCATAATTGCATTTCATGAGGTATAAAAAGAATAACCGCAGTGGTGCGACGCTGTAATAAACTTTTTTAGCATCGCAGGAGAGATGCTGAGAAACGTGGAGAAGACGATATCGATAGACAATTCGTACACTCCGAACAATTTCCTGGTAAGCTCCCCATTGGGAGTTCGATTTCGTTTTTATTGCGATCCGATCGCTCCTCCTTCTTCCACCCCCTGCACTCCCCTCACACCTCTTTCGGCTCTTCTTTATACTTTTTACCTCCTTGAAACAGCGATTATAGTCGGAGGCTGTAGAAGACATGGGTACACGGAGTCATCACCGTTTCGATTTCGTGGTCGTGCGAGTTCTTTGCAGAATAATATGAAAAGTAGTTCCACCCAATACGATCCGGGTTTGATCGCAGAAGCAATAAAATCCCTGTGACCGAAAAGCTTCACGAAAATGTGTCATCAGAACCGCGAAAACTACACGGTGAAAGACAAAAAGAAACGCGTGACCTGAATGCAAAAGCGAATGTGTGCGGAAAGCACACATGTACGTGAAAGGTTTTCTCACCCTCTTCATTCCACATTTTCTCGTTTACTTTATCTTCTTTTGTTCTATTTCCTTTCTTAGGGTTTTAGTTTATTTTCTTCGTCTTCTGTCCTGCTGTACTACCCTTCTCTCATACGGTGCTGAAAATAAACGACGAACGAGAGAGATTAGAGGGAGTTGGGAGAGTATGGAGAGACGTAAAAATTTGCATGGACGTAAAACCAGAGTTTAAGATCGAGGTTGTATAAACGGAAAGGCAATATTGTCTTGTGCCTCGGATAGGCTACAGCCTTTGGAACATTCTGGAAGATGGGGAGGCGAATGTCTGACACCGGGACTACCGTTTTCCCTGTTCATTGCGTCCTATATGTTTGGATTTTTATGCCAGAGCATTGTCACGTTTATTATCGTCTGCCACGTTTTTTTTTATTCATTCGTATTACATTTATCCACTTTCATTCAACCTCTTGGATTATTATCGAGACCCTTGTTACGGTAATGCCATGGGATTATTGAATTCCACGGAAATGCGAGAACGATCACTGCGATTGTCTGACGGAAGGATCAGGGAATGTTCATAGATTTTGTTCATTCATAATTCAGCTCCATCCGCCTCTTTACTTTCCCCAACGATTTTTATGGTCACTGGGATTAAGGAAGCGCAGAGTGCTCGTTAGGGGGTGCCACGACGGTACCAAGAGTTTAGTACCAAATAAAAGATATAAGAAGCTGAGGAACGAGTGCCAGGAGAGTTCGACAAAATTACAATGGAGTATCCCCCCGCAACTTTTATTCCTAACTTTTTTTCACAACTTTTTGTTTCCACCCCAAAGGTGTCGAGAGGTCAGGCGCACCCAACGTCACGAGTAAAAAATAACCAGCAGACCGACAGTACCTCGTTCTACCTCTATTCCCCAGAATGAGATGAACCTAAAGGCGTCGAATTGGAGAAGCCGGAGAAAAGAGGAGACAATGGGACAGGACGACTGAATGCAATAGAAGAAGAACAATGGCTCGTCTCATATTTGAAATTCTTCCTCTTCTACCAGAATTAATGGCTACTCGTTACCGGCCAACTGTGAAGAGATGGAAACGCAGCTTGGTGGTAAGAAATAAGGAACAAAGGTCGATTAACTTTTGACGGAAAAGTCCTGGATGAAGCTAACTAATGATCCTCTTCTTTTTTTACAATGTAACTTTCGAGTCAGCTACTTTCAAAAGAGAAAATCGATTCAACGATTGCTGGATGAATCATTTGTGCCTGAAAAAACTATTGAAAATTGCCAACTATGGCAGGCAATTTTTTCCGTTCATCTTCCACGATGATGTCCTCTAGTTTACTTTTTCCTCACGTCCACATATATTCAGTTCTATTTGTTCCCACCAACTCTCATATCCAAGTCTCCTTTACTTCCACAATTTTCCAACAGACTCCTCCTCCCCAATCTTGGAGTAAATATTTACTGAGAAACGTTGGGTAGTGCAGCATGACGGTAGGCATTTTATACGTCAGGAGCGAGTAAGCAAAGAAGACTCTCACATAGCCTTATCCCAGGATAGGAGATTCCACTATAACGGCCAGTAAATAACGTTTTCTCTTCTTTTCTTCGACGGGCTTCACCCTGAAAGTAGTTGCCATTGAAGAGTGGTCTTCAGTGGATCGAGTGGGCCTCTTCTGGAGCTCCGCAGAAGATGTTTAAGGAATTTCCTCGGCGGGAGCGATAGTGGCACTCGGCTATCAACCGACACTCGACAATTCCCCCTAGATAACTTGGAGGATATAATTACTGCTCCTCAATCATACTCGGAAATTCGTTATATCAAATGGAGAGACATCCAATCGATACTTTCGTAAGGTTGATAATTCTACGGTTTGTTTGGAACGGAGGGTTGAGGAGAGGTTGAGAAGAGCCAAAGCCATTCCTGCTCTTATTAGCCATCCGAACCCCTCGACAAAGTTCAAAGCAAACGTGACGGAGTTTCGTCCCTTCGTTTTGCTGAAATAGCTTATGTTCCCGTATCCTTACCGGAACATTTTCTCCTTGCAAGGCCAAATTACCCTTCTTCATCCAATTAATTAGAAATAATTACAATTTAGGGTAGACGCTGGTAGCTGCGGAAGTGTTTTGTCCGTTGGCTATGTGATTTACGACGAGTTGATATAATTTCTGTTTCATGTCAATGACCTTCTCTTCCCAATATCTCCCGTCGCTATTTACTTTGGTATTGGTTCTTGAACATTGTCATCCTCGGAGTATTCTAGATCAAAGTTGACAAACTCCATCTTGTGCCAAAAGATAGGGTGCTCAAGAGACGCCACCTACAGAATCGTGCACATGTACATTCAACAATGCTCAATGGCAAAGGATCGGAGTACAACTGGCGAGCGGGCCATCTCTACCAACTTTGTCTCTAGAAACTTATGTCCTGAAGATCCCTTCGGTCTAGATGTATTGTGCTGAGGAATTAGTTACTACTGTCTCAAGATAGGCATAGTACGCTGTAGGGAATTACAGTGGGTAAGTTTTGAGGTGGATTACAGATGAAAATAATTCAGTGCCCGCGGATTTCTCGTTGCTGTGATCTATGTACATCTCAGTTTCAGGGTATCGAGGGTCTACACTTCATAGTCCAACGAATATTTACTGGGTAAGCCGGATGAATTCCCTTCTCTGGCACCCACTGGTGGTCATAAATTTCTCTGCCATTCCCGACGCTGGTTTATGTTTGTGGGATTAAATAACTTGAGCCAGTGGTAACATATCATACATACGGGCACTGGATATGATGTTCTACGATATTCCAGTATATTAATTTTCATATTTATGAAGTAGTTTAATTATTATTGTTGTTGAATTGATAGTAATACAGTAGACTCCCGTTGTAGTCGATAGTCCCGTTGTAGTCGATAAATTCGATCACGAGAGAAATTTATTTTCTTGGCATTATTTTAACCGTAATACACCTCCTCACCGAGCGAAACAATGCCCGGTTCAATGTTCAATGTTCAAGGTTCAATGTTGGAGTCTGGGGGTAGTGGAGTACGGGAACTGAAAGATACGTGGAAACAGAAATCGAGGAGAGGTGTTGACTATTGATGTAGCATGGCCGGATTGGCCTGAGGATTGGGTCAAGATTGGGTCAAATTTGACGCCAACATTTCCGAAGCCTTGAAAAGAGACTGGCCCAATACTCTATCGAGCCTTGAATGATAACTCCGGCCCGATTATCGGTGCCTTGTTTGTTTTGATTGTTATACCACTAACCTAGTACCTAAATCTTGTAGTAGGAGCATAAAAACGACGAACGATGCAAGCCAGTGTACGGACCAAGCATCCGAAAACCGAGTATTAGTGAACAGATGCTGACCAATACATTAGTCGAGTTTTTATAACGGGATTCTACTGTACCAATATAGTGATATGCTGAGACCTCTGAGAACAGGGTCATTTGAGTACACGTAAAATCAACGGCTCGTTGATCGAAAAAATTCAAATTTGGGAAAAACTTAGTTTATTTGTCCAGAAGCCATATATTAGACGTGTGAAGGGGACTAAAACCGAACAAATTTTTTTCCATCTTTTTAACCAATTTGAATGTTCTCTTTTCGTTTGGGCCCTATATTTACAAAATCAACGATTGCTCTTTCGTTTCTGCAAATTCACTCGAATTTCCCTTTGTACGTCCAAATACGTTCATGTGATAGATGGAGCACCTCTCCCTGGAGGTATTTTCAACTATTCTGTTTCAAATATGAATTGTATGCATATAATTTCAGGTGTTTAATTTGCCGAGCGAGATTCCGCGATCGAAATTGCGATTTAAAAACTGCATAAATTTGTTCTGACCGGATACACCTATCAATTTATTC